TTGTAAGGAACATATCTTCAAAATCCATGATTCTTTTATGCGAAGACATAAAGAACCGTCCAGGGAAGCGGTTTCTGCAGCCTTCTAAATGACTTCTTCGTTACGCTTTCAGGTGTGGTATTTTATCAATATTTCGCCAGCCGGCGAAAAGTAAATCAAGCGAGAAGTAAATCATATCGCGAAAAGTAAATCAAACTCTTAGTGCCTCTGCCCTTGGATAAAAGGATTAACATATTGAGAAAAATATATGGGCGTGCATGGAATTTCCCTCGAGATATCTCAAGAGTGAGTACAGCTAGCGAACGATTAAGATATCGAGTCGAACACCAGCAACCATGGATTATTTTGTTGGATCATGTTTACTGTACATATATCGTTTGTTATATCGATGAGAGTCTGTCGATATTCGGCCGATGCGTCGGTCGACGCTCGGCCCCCACTTGGTCCGCACTCGGTCGACACAGGGTCAACACTCGGTCACCGATGTATCGACCGCCGGATATGTCGGTAAGAGTAACTACAGCATACATGATCCACTCTTTTTAAGCCCCGACAAGAAATATCGACTCATCAATAAACGAAAAGATGTGACAGAGTAACTTGAAAGGGAAGTGAAGTATCTGTATCTGATTAGTGATATAAACACACGTAAAAGATCAACGTAATTTCACACTTGTTTAGAAAATTTGGTTGCCATGTAATGGCTGTATTCATGAAATAACTTATAGGATACTCCGACAAAAAAGACATCTACAATAGTTGCAGGATTCAAGACCTACTAAGGGCAGTCATAAAACTCTTAGTCTAAGGAGAATTACCGAGTTTGACATATTTACAACCAGGTCTGTCAGATTCATTTGATATATTCAAATTATTTCGTTACCCCCACCGACGCAGCCCCAAACAGTTTCTTTAGAAACTATTAGCCTTTATTATTAGTTAATACTAGAAGATTATTTTTAGATTAAAAATATCTGTACTGTAGGTACAGAGCCACCTTAAATTACATAAAAAGTGAGTTGGCTCTGCACCAACAGTACAGATTGCATTTTTTTAAAGCTTTTGTAGTGTACGCGTCTTGGTATTCGGATAAAATTCAGCGATAGATAATCGGAAAGTTCCTCATCAGGTGTTGTTTGCATTGGTAATTAGCAGGAAGCTTTTCCACACTTGAGTCAAGGAAGCTTAATTCGTTTCTAGACTGAAATATTTCAAGGATGTCACGTATTCCTCGAACGCTACAGGAGGCCAGGAATGGCCTAGTCTGGAAACTGGCCCATTAAAAGGAAAATGAAATTCTGTAAAACCCGGCTCAATTAGTAAAATGATCCAAACAAACAGAAACGCTTTCAGTTTACATAACTAATAAGGTCAAAGTTGTCATAGAAGTATAGAACAATCTCAGTTCTCAGAAAAGACTTTCAATTTCAGTAGATTAAGTTTTCTCC